TTTTGAGAAACTGGCAATGATTTCTTTCTTTACTTTTAGTTATTAAGTAACTTCCGAATTATTTATTTTTATTTAAATTTTATATTGTTTATAATAATTATTTTTATTTTTATGTTATAATTTAATTATTATAATTTTGTTTTTTTTTCTATCAATTTTCTTTTGAGGTTAAGTTAAAGAGCTTCAAGCTAGACTGCGCCTCCGCATCTTGGTATTACTTTTAATTTATTAATAAAGACCTTTATTATTATTATCTTTTTGATCATGCCATTTTACCTTTTGACTTGGTATTTTATTTGATAGACATACGTTTTCGGATCCAAAAATGATTCGATTACAAATTATCTTGATCTCTCGATAAAATGACAAATATTTAAGAATTTTATTATGCATAAAATCTTTGAAAGGCATTATCTAGGAATTAAGATTTTTGTACTTATAACAATGTTGTCGCGGATGTGAAAAATATTCGCAATTATAGACTATAATAACTAAAATAATCTTAGTTAATTTTAAATTATGAGTCACAGGATGTTATGCAGATCGATGCAAAACTTTTAGCTCATTTTGTGTAACCAAATAGATTCTAAGTGACTCCTGTTTTTATCAACTCCTGAAAGGTTTGCATCGACCTCCATATCACCCTGTATAATTATTATTCTTAAAATCCCAATGTTAAATGTTAGCTGTTTACAGAATGCCTTAGTAAGTTGGTTAAGTCTATAATTGACCCTTAAAATATTTTGAATTAAAAAAAAACCTAGTCATAGATATTAAACTGCATGACATAAAATTATTTTCGAATATATGTACAGGTGCCTCAGGAATGAGAATATTAAATTAAAATTGAATATTGAGATTCAAATTTGCTAAAAATTCATTCCGCAATGTTTTTCAGTAAATAAAAATTTTCAGGTTTTTCAAAATTGATCAATATTTAAATGAGTTAGGTAATTCAGATTCAGATACTCACTGAGCACATGAAATGAAGTAATCCAAATAGTTCGTCTCATATCCAGCTGGATCAATATCGGTTTCATCAAACGTTTCTTCATCGTTTTGATAATACCCCCAAATACTCTGGACGACGCATTCCTCCACATCCGTACTGACCTTCCCCACACTCCTCAACGGTGCGAAACAAATCCTCCCCAAGGCGTAATCAGTCTCGGCACCAATCGCCTTGATCCTCTCTTGCAATTTCAAAACCTCTTTCAAAAAGGTCGGATCGAATGCTGGCCCAAACACCACTTCCCCATTCGAAGTGTTATGATGTATCTGCGGCAAATTCACCGCTTTGATTATTACTTGTTCGTTTCTGTAAAACGGCTCAAAATGACTATCGAAATACTCCTTTTCAATGCGACTCCTTGAAGTCGGCGATGCCCACAATTCCACCGGATCGGTGGTCACTTTCAGGTATTTGATACCGTGGCCGAGGCCTACTACGATACAAGCGCCCAAAAACAGCACCAGCCACGGTCTTTCGGCGCACATAGTGCCCCAATATTCGAAAAATCGCTGGAGGAAAGTATCGGTGTTGGCGCCGAGTTTTTCCAAAAACGACGAACCCGATTCGTATTCGCCGGGCATTTTATTAATGGAATGAGTGTCGAGTTCATGGCCAATTTCGGAGGTTACACCTAAAGGAAAATAATAAATCAATAATGGGGTTGAAAGATTGGTGTTTCCAAGTCAACTCGATTAAAGTCAATAACTTATGTAAAAGTTTATGACCCTCTAATTTGAATAAATGTTTGATGAAAAATAAAAGTTATATCGTGTCTCCACGTCCCACGTTCAGCTATAAACTAATATTGATCTTTTTTGTGCGTATTTTATTATCTATTTATGCGTAATTTTATAATGACACTAATTTTAACTAAGAGGGACAAAATTATCGGGTTGATAATAACTGTAAGCCCTTTTTAGTAATGGGGCAACAATAGATTTTACCACTGATCAAAAATTGTGTATTTTTTTAACTTAATGACATTGTTTTTTTTTGTAAAATTCTCACATTTTTTTTCTGTTTATTCGCCTATGTTAAAAAAAAATTATCAATAATTTAAAATTTAAATATTTTTTATGATCAGGCCAGGCAATACATATTTCAGTCAACTTTGCAACCATCATTTTGATTTACAAACATTATTTTGATTTGTTTTTGATTTTTAAACGGGCTGTAAATCTATTGTTTTAAAGTTTTTTTTAATCTAAAGATTAAAGATTTTTATATTTATAGAATCAAAAAATCATTTTCCTTTCATTTTAGTTTTTATAGTATTTTATTATACACTACTTGCATATATAAAATTGTAATTTTTGTGTAATTAGGCAGGTAAGGATAATTTTAATAAATTCACACAAAAAAACATAAATAAAATAATAAAAATAAATATGTATATTGTAAGGTCTTAAATCTGTATTATAATTTTTGTAAGTCATGAAAAGCAAAGTTTAGTAACTTCGAGTTTATTGGTGTAACTAACAAAGGTCACTAAAATTTTCTTCAATAAATTTTGAATAAAATTTACTTTTAGAGTGTAAACTTTATTGATAAAACAAACTTTAATGGAACTGTTTGTAAATAAATAATTAAATTCTTATTTTTACGTTAACTTAACACTGACCACAAGCAATAAATACCGAGTGGTCAAGAGTAATTGTTTGAGTTGGCAATACTGAATTTTAGTTTTAAATAAAACTAGCCTTATATAGAACTTCCGGTTGTTGACGACAGCTTGCCACTCACATTTATCACTGACAATATTGCAAACAACCAAAACACAATACTATTAATTAATTTTGTTATAGTTTTTTTGAAAATTTTACCACCACTTAACTTTGAAAAAGAAAAGTCGGGGCTGTTTGATTCACAAAAATTTGTACTGTCAATATTTGTCAAAGAAAAGTTTTTTTTGTATGTATTAGCATATTACATATTTTGATAAAACAAAAAAATATTTGATTCTATTTTTATAAAAATAATTATGTGCTTTACTATGTAAAAAAAAAACGTTTTAAAAACATTAATGTAATAGGAGTAATTTTTTAACAATAACACTGATTAAAACAGTTTTATTGAGTCGCGATAGGAATCATTTATGCAATTAATTTCCGGGTAAAAAAATTGTAAACAATAAATTAATAAGCTATTGTCACACTCTATTAGCAAAAACTCATAAATAATTAACAGTAATATTAATTCCAGCAAAACAAAACTTGATTAACAAACTATATTAAAAAAAATAAAATAAACAACAATGTGGGGCAAAATGAAAACTGAACCATTTCTGGTTGCATGTTTTGAACAAAATATGGATTTTTCAATCATTGTTTTAGTGTTATTGTTTGTATGCCAAGTTCAAATCAATTTTCCTGTTTTATTTAATCTCACGAACGTTGTACTAAATATCTCCATACTAAAATACTGTGACACAATTTGTATTTGCCGGTTGCAGAAAAAATAATGTGTTCGCCCTAAATTCGAGTTGACAAGGAATTATCATCTTCCTGACTTCCTACAATTCGTTCAAAACTACAGAATCAAAATGTTAATACCCTAAACCCTCTTGCGATTTTGGCCGTCTGTCGCCGTACTGTCACGTAACGTACATTGACAATGGCCTCATGCGCAGAAGCACCACCAAGTTTAAAAATCAAACCTGTTAATTTCATGTCGTTTAGTAAGTGGCTTTGAAAAAAAAATTCTCGACGTTTTAGTTCCTTTAATGATTATTAGAAAAATGGAGGGGGGCACATACTGGATCTTTTAGAGTCCTGAAGGGGGCTATCTTCCTCATCGCTACCAAGCACCAGTCTGGATTGTCTGTCGACGCCCGCCAGTCGTCTACCAACAGCAGCCCGCATGTCTTCTGAACCATGCCCGGTCACCAAACCCACTGCAACCCATGCGACGTCACACACTAGCCAACTACTTTTGCCCTTGGCTTCGAGACACCAAAACCCACCCACAGAAGTGGTTAATTGAAATAGTTAAGGATTTATTCAATTTGCGTTTTTTACACATTCACTATGCCCTCTGCAGTGAATCACTGCAATTTCATTCACATTTTAGTTTTAACTACTGAAGGTTTTCCTCTGTATTTTACAACAGTATTCCTCATACAGATTGTACAAAAAGTATGGAACCAAGTGTCTTTTGTTTAACATATACAGGGTACGCCAGAACTCGCGCCCCAGAGAAAAATTTCAAGTAAGATAAGATACCAGGAACATGAAAAAAATGTTTAAAAAATTTGGACATTTATTTTTTGACATTTTTTATTTAATGATACTGATGATTTTGTATATGTTTTTTTACAATTATTTAGTAAAGGTACAAAAATTTTGCCAATAAAAGTCACAAATAACAGAGTAACAATCTAGGATACAGCTTCCTTGTTTCTTCTTCTAATAGTCTGTAGCAAAAAACTTGGAGAATTATTTTTCCAATAGAAATAAATAGTCAAAGTGCAAAATTTAAACTCTCATAACTCCGAAATTTTTATAGATAGAATTTTTTTAACATTTTTTCCATATTCCCTATATGGCATTTTTCTCTGGGGCGCGAATACTGGCGCACCTTGTATACTTTCTTAAAAAAAAATAATTAATGATAAAATACTATAAAATTGTTTTTGTTTCTCAAGACTTTTTTTCTGTAAATTTTCACAGTAAGTTACCATTTAAAGAAAAAATGGCAGAACTTAATAAATTTTCAAAAATTTCATTCTTAAAAACGATTACATTTTTTACAATACAATTTCACCAATTAATTTTTTCCAAAAGCAAATAAATTAACCAAAAAAAAATCAAATTTTTACCAACTCTACACAATGTTTAAATATTATTAAAGACAGTTCACCCAACTTTTCATTTTTTTTTCTTATCAAAGGTCCCAGTTAGGAATGCGCCGGTCAATAATTCTGGTATAAAAAGGAATAAACATCACTAATAATTTTCATTTTAAAAGTTTACAGATTCCAGAAAGGAACAAAAAATGGTAACAGTTACAAAAATTATCTACAAGAATAGGAATTACAGTAATATTTTTTATTTATAAATACAGATAGTATTATTTATCAAAATCAAATTATTTTCACGAAATTGTGCTGAATTAAGAATTATTGGATAATTGTACTGTAACTAAAAAAATAATCTTGATTATGTAATATAAATGATTTTTTTTAATTATATAAAAAGGACAAAACCGTATCTTTAATTTATCAGACCCTAAACATAAATAAATTATTAGTTGTAGAAAAGATTTCCTTGAAAAAGGAATTTCTTCAAATTAGGTGGAACTTCAGGTTTCCTGGTTGTTGCAAAAAATCATTATATTATATGCAAAACTGCTACAAAATTCTTAATGACTGTCATTAAATGTGATTTTATGTATCAAGAGAAAAAACAACTTTTTAATCACGAGAATGTAGGTAGTGCCAGAGGCGATCGAAGAAAGCCGAAGGCATTTTCATTCTAGGTGATAACGATGTTTACTCCAAAGATATATACGTATGCAAAACAAATTTTATTCCCAACGTATTAATTAATGCGATCATAAGAAAATGTTAAAGTTGTCACATAATGTCAAATAAATTTTCATAATATTTAATTCATTCAGTGCAATTTTAAAAGTAAAAATCTGTATCAAGGAGTTTATCTCAAAAAATACTCAAAGATTTAATTCCAGTTTATTTTAAGAGTAAATATTGGTGTTTCTTTTTTATTTTATCCCAGAGGGAATAAAGCCTCACTTTATTTCATGTTGAAATAAAAAGTAATGAAAGTTTGCTTCACCATGTCTCTAAAATTCCCGTTTCATTTCTTCCAAAAATTGACAAACATGTTACATATTGTAATTTACATAATATCTAATTAGTGTAATTTAATTATACTAAAAAAAGGAAATAATTTTAAAATTATATAATACAATGCATGATTATACATTAAGGTCGTATCCAATACAGTAAACATATTACCAACAATTCAAATAAACTGGTGTTTGTCACGTTGTTTCTATAAAATAATGTTGCAATGTGTTTACCAAATAATTTTATGTATTTAAGAGCAACACGAAAGATAATTAACAAAAAATTAAAAAAAAATCGAATCTGAGAAGTATCTGTTTAAAAACACATTCGAATAAATGAATATTCGAATAGAGGCGCTACCATCAAAAATCCTGTTATTAAAAGGCATTAAACGCAACTTCAATAAACCCTTTACGTAAAAACATCGAAATATGTGAACCCTGTTAAAAACACAACTTTGAAAGTGAGGTGGGGGTTAGTGACTTAAAAGTCAAGTAAAAATTAATCCCAACTGTGTAACACAGCCATAAAATATATACAAAAAAATGTGTCCAAATGTTTGACTATGACTTGTAACATTTCGATTAACATCAACCAAATTTAGATAACAATTTTACGACTAGATTAAACAGCAATAAATTTTCATTCAAGTCATTTGAGAGAATATTAAAGCGCAATTTCAAATATTTGAACACATAATTTACCATTTAAGAAAAAAAAAAAACGATTAAAATAAACAGAAATGAAAGATTATTAGCGGAATGTCACAAACTTCAATTATTCACATATAAAAAATGACAAATGCAATTTCCTATTGAGATAACAATAATTGAAATTTGATGACATATTATAATATTTGTCCTTCCTTAGCACAAAAAGGTAAAACCTTTTTTAAAAACAAGTTAGTAAAATAACGAAACGAACACAAAAAATCATGCAAAAATAAAATCATCACAGCCCTCGAACATTTAAAAATTTAGCTACCTTGACAATCCTCGGCCAAATCTACACCGGGTGCTCTATTACTTTTATTAAAATGATAACCTGCAAACAGAGACACGATGGGCTTGTGACAGCATGCAAAAAATCCCAAGTACAAAAACGAAACCCAATGTGTGTGGTTCACACAAATGATTTTTTTTCTTACCGATTTCTGCTCTAGATGGACAGACAAAAACGACCAGGAGGAACATGAGTGTGCCAACGCAGAAAACAATCACCATTAGGAAGAAGTAACCGTCGAAACCGGCGATTGTAAAGGGTTGGGGTGCGGGCGGTTGCGGCGGAGGAACCGGACAACTTTCTTCGCAGTCTACGCAACTGCATGCTGCTGTTTTAGACTGAAAATAAAAAAAATAAACATCAAAATTCATAACTAGAACTTATATTTTTGACTAAAGTTGCAGTGACTTGAAATGACGAAGTACTGAAATCTATCCAAACGCTTTAAAAATTGAAATATTTTCTAATAAAATAAGTCAATCTTCGTTTGTCTTTTCAGTTAAAATTAAGTAATTATTCTGTATTTTGAAGTCTTTGTTGTGTTATAGATTAAGTAGAAAATGTGGGCATTTTTTTACTTTATGTTTTATTCGTCTGTAATCTTAAAAATTCTTCAAAGTTCTCAGACAACGCAGTCTATCACAAAGTCGTAAATTTATCATTTTATTCGTAAAACTTGTTTCCAAGAACCGATTTAATGCCTATTTTTAAGAATCATATGATATATTTGACATTACCATGACAAATACTTAACCTTTACTCGAAAATTATGACAAATCCGACTTACATACAAAAATAGTGTCTAAATCAAAATTTGAATTTTAGAAGTGTCCACAGTAACACACTGTACTTACCAGTATATTTTGACTTCAATGGTACGTGTTTATGGAACTCAATTCTTTTGTCTATAAGTTTTTCTGTGTCACTAATATAATTTCAAAGTCATTCATTTCGATCAGAAATTTAATTGTAATTGTTTTCTGAAATAAAATTCGTTTGTTAATAATTTAATCAAGAATGTTTTATGTTATTTATCTGTTCAAAAACGTTTTTTTTTTAATTTTAAGTACCTATTAATACATTTAAAAAATAGTGAGTAAAAGTAATAGTTTACGTGGCGAAGATGAACGTTCAGCTGAGCCACATAAACTTACTTTTACTCCAAATAACATAATATACTATTTTATACTCAAAAGTATTCAGAGCGAGAGTAAGAACACTATAATTAGCAAGTAAATGAACAAAATAATCAGGACGCTTTGCAATATAATAACAAACAACGCATCAGTTTCTGAATTTGTGTTGAGATTTTCGAAATTGTTTATTTACCTAGTGCATGACTAGTGTAGTTTGTAGTGCAAAATGTTGAATGCTGATATTCTACAATGTACCTCTCCAGAAAATGCTGAAGCGACAAAAGTAAATGTCATAATAAAAGTAAAAACGTAGCGAAAAAACAGTTTCTACTCCATGCCTGAAAGGTAAAATCTTTACTTATGTCATTTAGTCATAAAAGGGTCACTTTAGTGACGTTTGCTGAAATTTGGAATATCTGAACAATTATGTGAAGAATTTCTTTTATTCTTATAATCGTTAATATAATTTGATAAAAAAGTAACATTTTTTTTAACTATGTAGTTAATATCCCTTAAATACTTTATCAGGCAGTTTTCAATAAAAAAAATGTTCTAACTCAAAATTTTAGATAACCACTCAAAATTAAAATTAGTCCATACATTGGTCCTTATTATCTTTGGAACACATTGCATTATTGTAATTTATAATGTCCACATTCCCGATACAGTAAGTATAAAAATTATTCAGTAACAAATCGATTAATTTCTAAATTTTAATATTTCATCAGTCATCTTTTATTCAAAACGGAAATGAAATAAAAACTAAGTTATGTAAACATAGTAAATGTATGGATGGCAACAAAAATTCTTAAATTTAAACAGACATCAAGCTTTTGGAGTGACAGCAAGTTAATATTAAAAATTTTAATATGAAAACAGGAAATTTGTTTTTTTAAATGTTATTTAGTGTTCTGATTTTATTTTTTGGAGGTTGACGTAGTTGTTTTACATTTAGTGAACAAACCTACAAAACAAAATGACCAGTTTTGGATTTTCTAAAACTCCTTCGTAAGCATGTTATTACTTGTAAAAACAAAGTAGGTAATGTACCGAAAAAAATATTTATTATAAATAATTAGGCCAGATTTTAATTAGTACGTGAACGGGTAGTTAGTACGTGTTTTTCAAATTCTCAATTAAATGTTGTATTGCGTTACACACATAATTATCAAAATTAGAACAAAATAAACTATTAACTTTTATAAGGAAACAAAACAAAATTTCGTCACCCTAATAATCAAACCTCATAACTCTACTTTTGGTCAAATATGAGATTTTGGTGTCATCTGTTAAAAAAATACTGTACACCATGATTAAACCAGGTAACTTACATGATGTTACTTTAATAATTTTACCAAAAAAAAACGTCCTTTAGGTCTATAACGCAATAAAATATCTCTGGTAACTCCTCCACGTTGTGAGAATACAGGATGCGCCAGAACTCGCAACCCAGAGAAAATTTTCAAGTAAGGTAAGATAACAAGAACATGAAAAAAATGTTTAAAAAATTCTGTCAAAAATTTTTGACATTTATTTTTTGACATTTGACATTTTTTTATGTCTATTTAATGATACTGATGATCTTACGTTTTTTTACAATTATTTAGTAAAGGCAAAAATTTTGCTAATAAAAGCCACAAATAACATTGAACAGAATTACAATTTAGGAAAAAAACTTGGAAAATTATTATTCCAACAAAAATAAATAAAATCAAAGTGCAAAATTTAAAGCCTCATAACTTCGAAATTTTTATAGATAAATTTTTTTAACATTTTTTCCATGTTCCTGGTATCTTACCTTATATGGCATTTTTTTCTGGGGCGCGAGTTCTGACGCAGCCTGTATAGTACACTGATACTCATAACTTCTTGTTTTCCCCATAACACCTAAAAACTTATTCTATGTCGATCTAGTATGGTGGACAAGTGCTTCAAGTTAATCTATAAATTCATCTGAATTGGGGTATAAAATTAGACTTCGTATCTTCTATTTATTTACCTTTAGTTCTAAAAAAACTCAAAATAAAATTACAAAAAAAAACAAAAAACAAATTACTGAGACTCATATTCATTATTTGGATAAGTGTAACTACGAAAATTTTTAACGATTATCTTATTTGATTTTTGAATGTTTTCTGTAGTAATTTTGGAATTACGAGGTTTGATAATTAAGGTGACGATATGTCTCGTACACAAGTGGGTACTCAAAAACACCTGTATACACTTTTGCTCTTCGAATGCCTATTGAAAAGTAACAATTTTTACGCTTTTATAAATCATTTGTGTCATCAACAACACATTGCTTAATTTTTATCTCATTCTAAGGAATTATATTCCAAATGAAACACCTGTATTAGTTAGGAAATGTCAGTGACATCACTTTACTGATAATGTATTAACGAAAATCAATTATTTCTTCTAACCTGTATCGTTGACAAGATAATAGGAAAGCTTAATATTTTCTTCAAAAGCAAAAACTACTAAAATTTTGGATAAATAAAAAACATCTTGCTAGTTTTCAATTTTTGTATATAATTATGTATATTAAATAATATTCTTTCGGATTGAATGGCCTACATTTCGCACCGAAAGCGTAATTTAATGATAAGTTCTTATAAACTTTTAACAAACTCTGATCCAATTTTATACGAAAGTTTTAGGTGCTTCGTTTGTATTTATTTAACAAAGCGAAACTGGAGCAAAACAGCAATATAACTTTTTACTACGTAAGCTTCTCCCAAAATTAAAAAAATAAAAGCATTGTTCATAAAAAAGAAAAGAAATATATCGTAAATGAAAACGGGAACCAGAATAAAATAATAGGTTTTTCTTTTTAAATGATTTATATATAACTGGTGTTAATTATTATTATTAATTATGGTCAAGCCAATTAAATCGAAAATAAGTATTACTCGTTTTTGAGATTTTTATTTATTTTAGTTGAACAACTTAAAATTTTGTACCTTGTCCATTTTTTTCTACATCGACAAAGTTACAATTTTGTCATTGAAAACAAGTTCCTTACACGAGATCACACATTGCTTTATTTTATAAGAAAACTCTTAAACATCACACATTGCTTTATTTTTATTGACTTAAAAATGTCATTCGTTGAAAAATTACTCATATCTTTTATCATTTCCACGTAATCCGATAAAAACAGAAATTTTTGTGGCCGGTCATTCCACCCTAAGTATATAAATGAAAAATCGTGAAAACTAGCAATAAATCACTCAAAATGAGTTTTTTCCTCCCTCATAAAACTTTTAAACCACTATTGATCTGAGTGAGCTTTATCTTAATGCCAAGGTGTGTACAGGGTGAGTCATTAGTGAGGCGTCGAAAGTACAAAAACATTTATTGTTTTGTTTTATAGTTGATAAAGATGTGTCGATTCTAATTAGTAATTATGTACGAGTACGAGTATTTTCAAATGAACTTTTTTCTTGTCGAAGCAGATATTTTTTTATGTATTCTTGTTTGCCTTGCATGCTATATCATAATTTTGTTATCTCGATTGCGGCCTCGATTTTTTTCAAAATTTAAAAAATATGTACCTCCACCAATTCTCTTTTAATTAATTATTCACTTTGTACACTAATAGAACTTAGTGTAAATTATAAAATAAACAGTGGGTTTGTTTTTTAAAATCACGCCACATTTAACTCATCTCTATATTCGTGTTGTAGCAAAAACAGATCAAAGCATCAACAACAAAAAAATAATAATAGACGCAGCATACAAAAGCCGTAATTCGCAATTCAAGTTTTTCTCAGAAGCAGTTGTGTATTTCTGTAACTGTTTCTTTACTGATTCAACCCGACAAGTATTACATACATTAGATGTATTCAAATTCAAAACTTTTCAATAATTACAGTCGCGTGCAAAATTTTTTTTGTCGTCAATGTCACTAAAAAATTATTGTTTTATCTCAATGCAATTTATCCTTCAGGCGATCACTTCAGAAAATAAGCTTTGTTGAATATTTTATCACATCAGAAACCATCTCTTTGTTGAGTAATTGAGTAGTTGAGTTTTAGCTTCAACCAGCAAAGTAACTCTTTCGGGCCTTGACATACAAATAACTATTGTGATAGATTTTTCTCTCTCAAAAAGCCAAAAATAGTTTAAACGTCAATTGCCTTTATATTATTGGTGGTATTATGCTACGAATTTCAAATTATACAAGAAAAGTTTTTAAAAAATGACACTGACGACCAAAATACGTATATTGCAAGCCACTGTATGTGCATCGATTTTGTACATATTAACCGTTTTTTTTTTTTTTAATAAACAATTGTCAGTGTCAAAATCCTGTATAAAAGTAGTTCATATCGCTTTAAAAGGGAAAATTGAGAAATTAGATCTACATTACGTACCCGGATTTAGGTTGAGCAATACACCTAGTTCATAAGTTTCTTCAATTAAAGCCATACAACGAAAATTCTTTCTGATTTTTACACTGACAATTGTTTATTAAATGGAACAGACTATAACATTTGTACATACTTAGATATAAAAAACAGCATAAAATCAAATCATCATTTATCTAATTGCATTAATTTTTAAGGTCAACATCAATTAATCATTAGTGAATAACGTCCCCGAAAACGAACCGTGAATCCATCAAGGTCGTTTCATTTACTTCAGTATGACTGAAGTTAACATTATTCAATCTATTAATGCAATATGTGTTAATTTATTTATTGCATTCAACAGATACCTCATTGAATTTGCAAAATAAAATCGATATGAAATATTAATGGCGATTCTGAAGCGGCAATTTGTTTTCCAGGTGTTACAATTATATTAACATAAACATAAAAGAAATTTTATTTTTCCTCAAATCAAATTAACTTGATTTATTGTAACCAATGATATTAACTTATTATCACATGAGTGGAGTGTATTTTCTATAAATAAACGATGACATAAAACTGTATTCAGAAAAATCCAAAAATGTAAATGAAGCTTTTGCATTCGAATGAACTCAAAACCGGAAAAAATTTAACATTGAAAATCAGCTTACACGAATAAACATTTATTATTTTAATTAGAAACGCACCGGGATCAATTTCTAATATTTAATTAAGGATAAGCAAAAAATCACGACTTTCAATAATTTTTCTTTTAAAGGTAATATCTATTTCAAAACTATAAAAACACATAAACCACTAAGATACATAAGTTGGTTCAAACAGAAAAACTCTAGATATAGTATTGCACATGTGGCAAGATTATTTGGCAGATTTTTTGACATTTTATTTTGATAACTTCAAAATAGCAAGCGAGTTATGAGTTATCAGAAAACTCAAAATTTGTGAGGAATTTCAAAAATTTCGTTCCTAAAAAAACGATCACATTGTTTGAACCAAACCAAATAATGCTTGGTTTCATACTTTTTGCTTAACCTGTTTTTTCTGACAATTTTAACATAATTAATTTTAGAAAAATGTTTCCATTTCAGAAAATTCCTCACAAGTAAATTTCCTCAGCAAAAATGTCTCGGAATGATAAAACTTTAATTAATAGTTTTTACACCAACAAAAAGTCAAAAATAATTCGCCCATGCAAATTTATTTACTTAACCTTCCGACTTTATTACATCGACTACGCAAATCCTAAACCCATAACTTTTGTCTCATAATTAATTTTAGCAACACATAAACAATCCCCAAAAATACAACTTACATCAATCGCCTTATTACACGGCGTAATTTTCGGATTCAAAGGCTCATATTTGACTCCGTCCTTATCCACCGGTCCCGTACTATTCAGATAATTAATCTGGAATGGCACAAAAGGATTCGCATCTCCTGCAGTTCCCATGAAATTAAACCATCTCATCGCTGAACATTTACTCGCCCCCCAATTCCCACACATCAGATCTAAGGCCAATTGTCCACTCGAGGGAACACTGACTTGCTTGCAAGACTTGTAGGTCCCTTCCAAGTACTCATTCGTAATGTATAAATCTACAGCAGTGATGTATTCCAATCCTTTCGTATTATTTTTGATTTCTACGACTTTCATATAGTTTGTTTGGTCTTTTCCGCAGGTGAAATCGCACAAATGCCCTGCCAGATTCATCATACACGAAGGACACCTCTTGAGGAAATTGGCGGCGAGTTGGACACTGGAAGCGAATGTGGCGATTTGGGAGGCATCACAACAAGTGTTTATAGTTTGACTAGAGTCGGAAACTAGATGTGGACACCATTTTGAGAGGGTCTCGAGGGCCGTGGTGTCGTTGAGGAGTTTTGGAGGGCCGTCGTAAGGGCAGTATTGCTTCAAGCCTGTCGGTGAGGTATTGCACTCGCCGTACCAAACGCAATGGGCTTGAGTGTCTTTCCTACTTGTGGATGCGTTGTTTTCAGCACCGGAAATCTACAAAATAATGAAAGATTTGTTTTTAAGGTGTTGTTGATGCGTCACGACGGAGGAATGTAAGATGATACTGTTTACTAGTGGCTATTTACAGCAGACAGTGTAATTAATTGTATAGTCTGTTTACAGTGGTTTAGTTGATGATCGTACCCAGTGGCAGTTTTACGTTTTTACTAGATACTTACTTGGGTCAAGTAACTTGTGATTACGAACTTTGATTCAATTATGTTTCATAAAACTGGAACTGATTGTCGGTATATACGGAACAAATGTTAGTAATGACTTAATGAGTAATAAAAATCAGCAAAAGGGTTCAAACTGATACTTAAGTTCGAAATAAAATTAATTACGATAGGAATAATGTGTGGATATTAGTATACAAGCTGATCATTTATAATAACAACCCTGATCGATTTTTAGACGCAACCCAAAACACATTCCCACAGATAACTTGGCTTTTGTTACGTTTAAAAAATTTAGATTATTAAAAAATCAAAGTAATTGTTGATTTGTCTTTAGTTAAATTTGACAGTGTAAAAAATTCCACTTTATTTCCCATTGAATTCAAAATGTACTAAAACGACGAAAAAACTGACATGATCTTGATAAGTGGCGAATGCTACAAAAACGCTGTGGCTGAATTTGTACCGTCTCTTATTTATAAAAATTGTCAAAGCTATCATAGATATCTATGTTTATATCTTTAAAAAGAATCAAACAGAACATCAATTAATGCATGGTATCTGAGAATGTATTTTGGGTTGCGTCTGAAAATCGGTTAGGATCTTTATTATATAGGCTGTATTATAAAAGACGCCTCAAGCCTCCATTATTTTCAAAGTTATGACAATACTTCTTAGAACAAAGTTGAATATTTTTTGTCATCTATCGTTTGCGATATATGCTAAATTAATGCTGTTTTCTGTTTCACCGGAAGTGACATCAACTTTAATTTTTTAAATGGAACACCTGTATATTTTACCACTTTTGGATTCTTTGTTTAATTGCCTTTTAAAAGGTTTTAGTACCATATGCCTGAAACCGTGAGATATTCTCCAAATAATGTATTTATTAAAGTAGGCGGTGGAAAACAATAACATCAAGTAATGTTGCCAAATATTATTAATTTGTATTTTCTCTTACTGTTTTAATACTTTTTGGTGTTAATCAGGGATGATAATGTGTTAACAGACATGATTCAAGTATATTTTGAATGTTGTGGAAAAAAATGTATTTTTCTGTGACAAATACGCCAAAAAACTTATTGTAAAAAGTTGTTTAGAATCAACATTTAGGTCCGTATACCAAATTTCAAAATCATTGGGGCCAACTATGATTTTTTATTATTTTTTTATGTTTATTAATTCACAAATTAAAGAATGTTGTTTTTAACAGTTCTTTCATTACGAATAAAAAATTACATTTACATTACTAGTACAGTTGGAGACAAAATACTTTGGTCGTCACTTTTCTGACACTTCAATGTAATTCAAGCTTTAATGAATGACAATTTCAAATTAATGACAGTTATTATATCTTTCTATCAAAAATATTGTCAACTATGATTGACTGTAGTTAAAAATAAGGTTAACAGTCCTAAAGCATGCTTTATAATTTAATGTCACTCAAGTGACATTGACGACCAAAGTATTTTGTCTCCAACTGTACTAAATAAAATTTTTGACGTTTCTCTTAATAGAAAGAAAAAAAAATTATAGTTGGCCGATGATTTTGAAATTTGGTATCAGGGCCTAAATGTTGATTCTAACCATCTTTTTGTCGTATTTGCAGGATAAAAGGCACTTTACTCTACAAAAATAGTTTTTTTTATTTTCAAAACACATAATTTTTCAATACTAAAATTATGTTAGAAATTAATCTTTAACCAAGCAGGGCTGAATCCCAAAAAATGAAAATTTTACACTGTACATGTATTCTTTTAACATGGTTTAGATGGTTATAAAATTGTAAAATGGTTAACCATATTTTTAACTACTATCAACCATTGTCACCACTGATATACCCATCACTGCAAAATGTTAAATACCGAAAAACGGCCATATTTTTGACAAGAGAGAGATCAATAATTTAAAATTGTCAGCAATGTTGACTTGACTTGCTTGGTTTACATTATTTTTTTTTTGAAGTAAGAAAAATCGAGATTTTGTTTAAATGAAGATATGGAGAAGCTCATGCAAAAACATTTTGTTTTAACTTTTTGAATGCAAAATTGATTAGGTACATTTTCATTTAGAGAAGTATGGCACCAAACGCTTTTTTAAAAAATCACTTAATAATTAATAAAAATTACAGTACAACAAAAAATGTGATTGTGTTTTCAGAATGAAATTTTGTTTTGTTTTATGTTTCAAACTGGCAACTTAGATGATTTTTTTTTGATCGAAATTAAATAAAATGTAGACAATTGTAATCCTTAGCCTTTGTAAAAAAAAGTTTTAAAGCGAGTTGTCATCAAAAAAAATAAAAACTCAAAAACAAAATCACAAAAATTCATTCTTGAGAAAAAGTCGCATTTTTTATAGTACCTATCATTCTTCAATTAGTTTTTTTCAAAAAATTTGTAGTTTAAATAAAAACCCTTTGGTTCCATACTTCTTGTTCACCTAGTATATTTTATTATCTGCTGGAAGAATTAAGTAGCACTATGAATTTGCATTCAATCGATTTTTTAGATATAAGCACCAACGCAAACAACAAGGTGATAAACCCAATATGTGTTCAGACACATCTACACCTGTATAGCACCTTTAATTTGTACTTAAGTGGTCGATATAAACAAAAATGGAACTAGTCATTGATAATAAAATTGGTATTGCAACTCGTTCTTTCGACCTTGCTCTCTCATATGAATCCAATTTATCAATTTTATTTCGTCGTCTGAAGTTGAAGCATATTAGAGATAAAAATGGATGAATTCTTTAGGATACCCCAAAGTAAGAGCAATTATTTTTTTATCAAAAAATACATTAAAAAAATCCTAAACAGTTTGATCAATAACACACCTCTTGCGTGCAATCCAGAAAAGGTTTATGTAATTTTAATAATCAATACTGAAGACCTCGGTTCCGCGTCCCTTTTCTTTTTCAAATAACTTATTTCAACCTGTCATTATCCAATCCACTTGTCGCAATTTGAAAATTGCGTATGTCATTTCGCCATAACGTAGGACCTTTCCCGACTAAAAACATTCTACACGTGTAGCAAGTCCGTGCAATTTTCAATTATGGCACGATTACGTCTCTACCAACTATTGGCTTGACTTATATTTTGATCACGTCCTTGACGTCAAAATAATAAATGCACCATGCACATAAAGCGACCTTTCTCATATACTACTGGCGGCAGCCGTCTTAATAAAAGATTAATTAGATTAATTCGACGAAAACCATGAGAAATGCGCGAAAGTAGTCGCCCCACGATGACATTATTGACCTTTTCACCTCGTCAATGATTAGATGCGGGTAAGAAATAATTGGACAATAGTCTGGATTTAACAAATTGTTAATTAGTGACGTGGGATTATGAGTAAACACAGATTTATTGGCGAAAACATTGAGTTTAATTTTAGTCTGTTTACGATTTAAATAAATACGAAGAATAAGAGTAATGCGTTAAAAAAAAACAATACTGATAGATAGTGAAGGGGCCATTTGAGGTAGAGCAATCAAAATATAAAAAATGCAGAACCGATCAGTATTTGGGATTATCTACATATCTAATCTGTTCTCGAAACTTAGAGTCTGATTAATACAAAGCAAAAATAACAGTTTTTAATTTTCTCGAATCATTAAATCTTTCTTTGTTTACATCTAATTTTGTCGAGATAAATCACGACGTATAATCGAAGGAACTCTTGGTCAAAACATCAACATAGATAAAACCTTTAATAATTCGAATGAATCAAATCAAGTTCATGGTTCAATAGCTCATTAAACAAAACTCTAGGGAAAAATATCAGAATTCATGGATCATCCACCCATAAAATGATTCAATTTTTGTAAAAGACAACTTTGTGTCAATTTACAATCTTTATTTTGTTTTATTTGTTATTGCCATTCAAACAAAGAATTTTTCAGAATAATTTTTTTCCAAATGAAAATTGAATAAATTGGATAATGAGTATTACTTCAACCAGAAATAAATATTTAACCAGAAACTCTTATTTTAGACATAATATTTTAAGAAGTTCTTGATTAGACATCGTTTTTGTATACTATTTGTTTGGGGATCAAAATAAGATACATACTTGACGATGTGAAACTAGGTTACTCTTCAAACATTCAAGAATAGAAAACCCTGAACACATTTATAAAATAATAAATCATGCTTTTGAAATGTATATTTATGTAAGTTTGCATTAAAATTACCAATATGTATACAGGATGCGCCCGAACTCGCGCCCCCAGAGAAAAATGCCATGTAAGGTAAGATATCAGGAAGATGGAAAAAATGTTAAAAAAATACTATCTATAAAAATTTTGAAGTTGAGATTTTAAATTTTGCACTTTGACTCTATTTCTGTTGAAAAAATAATTTTTCAAGTTTTTTTGCTACAGATTATTAGACGAGGAAACACGGAATCTGTATCCTAAATCGTAACTCTTTTATTGGCAAAATTTTTATACCTTTACTAAATAATTATAAAAAAACATATACAAGATCATCAGACGTATAAAAATGTTAAATGTCAAAAAATAAATGTCAAAATTTTTGACAGAAACATTTTTTCCATGTTCCTAGTATCTTAGAAATTTTTCTCTGGGACGCGAGTTCTGGCGCAGCCTGTGTAGAAATTAAAAGCGAGTACCTAATTAAAACAGATTCAACTAATAATAATTATGTTTACAAAGAAGTACAATATTAATTGTATCTAATGACTAATGAGTAAGAAATTGTAATAATTACAAACAAAATTTCTTTGAATTTTTCCAGTTGCTTACATTTGAAGACGACTCGAATAAAAATTATACAAGAAAAGATAATTATTTAATAATGTGTAATAATCAATCAAGTATGACTTTTAACCTAATTGCAAAATACATATAATTTATATTTTGACAGCATCTATTTCACAAAATAATGAATATATCGACAAATTCACAAAACAGCAATTAAATGAAGATTAGAAACTTGCTTACAATAAGAATTGCTTAATTTCAAATTGAAAATTACACATTTTTATTACTATTTCTCTATTGAATAAAAAAGGAAACGAGATAAAAAAACTATGTTTTGTCTTTTTAATTCCCATTCAAATTATATTTTTTCTACTGTCATCTCGTTACTATACAGTTAGCTTTTTTATGGCACAAAATAGTTACTTGCAACCAGAGCTGTCTGATTCTCGTTGGCGCTTTAATCTGGGGAAATTTTTTGACATATCCAGTTTTTTAGCTTAAACAGTTCAACCTCATAATATCAATTGTCCCTGACGTATATTATTTTGTTGTATCCTTCCCCCCAGCTTTTATTAATTGCATTATTTTTCGTTAATAGTTAAAAATCATTCACTTAAACAAAGAATAAACTCGGAATCCCTGCTCCAATGCATTTTTTACGGAATGCCCAGGCGGAATATTGATACAATCCATTAAGGAAGCAGTGCTTACAACAGTCATTTTATTAAATATTTTAAACTTAAAAAAATTCAGAACTGATGCCTTCACTCTTGACTGAATAAAATAAAAATAAAATATTATGTAAAAGAAAATGAAAAATAGTTGCGAAAGATAAAACGTTTTAATGACAACTGAAAGTATTTTTTCCAACATGTTCTCATTTGATAAAATTTGAATTTAAAATTAAAAAGTTTATATTGTAAGCCTTACAAAAATCAGCCACTGTGCACATCAGTAATTTTCATAAGCGATAATTTTTAAAGTCAATAAAGTGGAAAAACAAATTTAATTAAATAATTGGATAATATGGTGACAAGCAACAATATCTTGAACGTGTTGTTTAATTGAATAAAATTCTAGAACCAACGAAATATAAATAGATAACATAGTATAAATAGACAATCATCGATCATTTTAACAAACCAGCACAATTTTCTAACATATTTATGATTTTGTAGTTATAGTTACAGTTCTACCATATCAACAATCAATAAAAGAACAAATTAAAATTCGTTTGGTTAGGAATAACATTTTTCACAATTTTCCACATCCCTAAACATTAACCTATAAATGTCCAACTAGGTCGCAACACATATTTTCACCAAGGACGCCCTTAAGACTAAACTGGCTTCCCCAAATTGTCTGGATCCAGTGGACTAAAAAATAATAGGTTATTTATTCCACATTTAGGCGACCTTGTTAAAAACAAGCTGCTTATTTCAAAGCTCGCATAATGCTTATTAGCAAATTTTCATTACTTGGTAACAACTACACACAACTGCTTTGAAAATACAACGCACGGATTGATAACGACAAAAATAAAAGTTCAAATTTCAAGGAAAAACTAGTTAGGAGTAAAATGGTGTAGATGTTGTACCATAAAAAAATTTCTAATCGCGCTAATAAGAAAAATAATCACATTTTTTTTCTTGCAAAGTTGAATTTGTCACTACATTTTGTTTAAAATACCTATATTAATATGGACTTGCATATGTATATCATGCCACAGTCACCGCCACTGCTGCCACTTTTCACGATTTTTTTTCTGTATGAAAGAGTGGAGTTTTTGGCACAAAATTTGTCACTAGGATGCAGTTGTAACACAGATTCTTGTTTTACACAGAAATCAAATGTTTCTGACCTATTTCACCTCAAAAAATGCAGTTACGATATTGCCAGGATGGCGATGGCTATCACACAGGTAATCTGCATTAAAATTGAAAGACTCCGCAAAAAACTGTATACAGCGTTATTCAAAAGAGCCGTAAAATGCTGTTTACAAATATTGTACAGGTACAAATAAATCAAAATGTTGGTTCAAAATCTACCGCAAAGTCGCCAAATTATGCGTGCTATTTTTAAATATTCATATTTTCAAAGCCACGCGGTATAGAAAATTTTTATAAGCATATCTGCGTTTCTTTTAAATTTTTCTACACCATATAAGAGGTTGTACAACCCTTTAAAAAGGCTTGTTATACCTTATTTTCAATAATTTGAAAACAACTTAAAAAACTAATTAACATTCTTGCGACAATGTAAAACTGTAATTTTTTAATTTAATTTTGAAGATTAAAAAGATAATTTAATTTTGAAGAGAAGAATGTACCAAAAATTATTTTCATAGCTAACTTGACCGGCATTTCCACATTCCTTAGATCTTTGTAGGGGAATGTATGTATGTAGATTTTCATGTATTTTTTGTAAAAAAAATTATTAAAGATCCTAAATATTTTTACTCTAATTCAGATTTGGAACAATTTTTTTTCAGACTTTAAATAATAACAAAAAAGATGAGATGCACGAAGTTCTCGAATCGTCCTACTTTCCTTTCAACGGAGACAATTTGTAATGGTTTACGGAATTCCTTATCAAGGAAGGTTGCTCAGGTGATTCATAATTACGTCACTTCGAGGTTTTCAACTTGTTACATGGGGGCCACTTTCAGTATCATGTTAACTTGTTATTTTTACACAAAGTTAAAATGCAACTTATGTTGACAGTACTGTGTCCTTAAATGTAAATGTAAAATGCCGCAGATAAATGACAAATAGGCGGGAAAAACCCTAAAAACTCGACTTTATCACTTGGATGATAATTCTACAAAATAATTTAAATGTGCAATAAAACATTTCAAATTAAAACTGGATAAAAATGATCAACTTTCTCTATACAAGGAAATGACAGGTGGATTCTTAAGTGATTAAAAATGAGAAATGGAGATGGGAAATTAGCGAAACACTTACCCTATTCACTAAACATAATATCACTAATAATAATTCACATAAAAGTCTTGAGGATTTCCTAAAATTTGCCATTTTTTGTAATTTTCGAATGGTCACTGCACACTGCAATGCAACTTTTTGTGTCCGATTTTGACTTTAACTCTTAAATAACATCACAGGGCGGTCTTCATTTCAATTCGAATTATTTGCACTTGTGTGACTTTCCGTATCAACAGTCGTTGAAACACTGTTGAAAATCACAGCGACGCCATTAGAAAATTAACCCACCTTGACGTTTGACGTCACTTTGACGTGAGCTGACACCAGCGCCCTCTGCTAAACGCGGAAAATTCAAATAAGAGAAAAGGAAGATAAATAATTACAGATTTATTTTTAGGTAAATACAATATTTACATAATGTATGGAAATGAAAAATGCACAGCTTAATTATATCAAAACTTATCCAAATGAAATCACAAGTTACTATTTTAAATGCTCAACATGTAAAAACTAATGTAGGTATTCCATATTTTTCAACAACTTTTATGTGACTAATTCAAATAATAAACAACACTTAGTAATCGATAATCAAATGACCGTAGAAAAATTCTCTTATTATGATTAGACAAAGTAGATTTTAAACATAAATAAATTTTATTACGATAAATACTAGGCGTCCAAATCATTTACAAATAGTACTTCCCGATTTTTAAGTCCCGCTTCTTCTAAAGTCTGTATTTTCTCGTTTGAATTGTCAGGTTTGCACCTCAACACCCTTTTAGGAAAATTCGTCGTGATTTCAAACGAATCAGGGGAATTTGGATGGCAGAATACAAAGTAAAAAACGGCCTGAAACAACACACAGTTTTAGTAATTAATTAAAAAAAAGTAACTAGTTTTTTTTAAACGGAAATCACCAAGTCAAAATTTTGGTTAAAACATTGGTAGCAGCTTATCTCCACAGTCACAAATTTTTGCTTTTTGTTTTTGTCCTTAGTATTTTTTTTTTAATTACGGTAATGTTTTGTCAAAATTTTCACTTTCATAAATTTTGTGTGCCTGTTTGCTCTTTGAAAACGTTATAATCGAACACCTGAGAACAGACATCAGTACCTAATGTCAAAGACAAAATTCAGTGTTAATAATATTGATGGAAGAAACACACTGCAAATAAGTACAATGTTGTGGGCAAAAATAAACTTTTTGCTACAAAACCTTTAGTTTTAAGTCTTAGTTTCAAAATGGTTACTTTTTTAAGTGAATCAAAGGCTGAGCAACCAAACATACTAATTTTGTTGCCTTCTTTCTCATTCATATTTATATTGTATTCTCGTCAATTTTAGGTCTAAATTTTAATGGTGGTCTTTTTCTGACTTCTGCTTTAACACTTTTCATCTCCAAACTTCCAAAAACTATTAGCGGCACTCAATTTAACCTCATTTTTGTTGCTTTAACGACATTGTTTTCAAATTAAACCAAAACTGCCAACTTTAGTGGTGGCAACATTAAGACTGTTTGACATTTCCGTTTAAACAAAAAAACAAGACTTTAGCTCTTTTAAATTGTTTTTGCAAAAACTGAGGCCATATTTACCTCCAAGGAATGTGTCTTGAGGAAACGCCGCTCTATGCGACTTCCACACGGCAACTTAAAAACTACATGCACAGCATCGGGATGATGTTTCTCGGGCTCATCAGGCACTTTATCCACCGACTCAATCTTCTCCCTGGCGATGCTTTGACGACGTTCCTCCTCGGCCCTCGCCTCCTCTTCCTCCCTCCTCAATTCGGCCTCCCTCGCTAACCGTTCTTCCTCTCGACGCCGTTCTTTCTCCTGATCAGCTCTCAAACTTTCCAAAAACGCCTCGTCTTGATGCGCCCTAAGCGAACGGTTTAAACTCGCCTCGTACCTATCGGCTCGTGTTTGCACTAGACTGATTTCAAACTCGCTGACTATCGTGTTGAGGCGTTGAAGGAGGAGAGTAGGATCGCAGTAGCCTTCCATACGGCCCACGACCGTCATACTGTTATCGCGTAAAACTAGGACTCCGAGAAATGGAGCTGAGCCGGCTTTTATCATGTTTTGGGCACGGCGGCCTTCGTGACTGCTTTGACTGCATGCCCAAAAGATGAAACGCGCAATGATGAATTGGATTACTTCTGGATGGGATAATGTCTCCCTGAAACAATAAAAACATTTACAAATATAATATATTCAATCGAAAACAATGATCTCAAATCAAATAAAGTAAATCAATAAAATAAAGTGCCACTTTCATCGTTAGCAACACTTTACACTTACACTTAGCAAAACGCTGTCACATAAAATCGCGGTCAATTCATAATAGCCATTTAATTTATTTCAAAGTTGGCAGCCCCTATCCCGACACCTCCAGTGTGTAGGTTGTGTCTATATTGACAGCAGAAATAACTAAATAAACAATTGTGACAGATGCAATAGATTATGTCATTTTTGATAGATATGTCCCTAAAAAAATAATTGGATGTTTAATGTCGGATTTACACAACTCAATTTTTACAAATTTACACAGGGAAGTGGCCACTATGAATTGACTTTATTTTTTTCAAACTTTTTCAGTTCTCCAACTAAAACACATCTCGCAACATTTGATACACTTGTCTCTTGACTTCATAAGTAGTAAATTTGAAATCGGTTCTTCTACTGCTCCTCGAGCAAAGCTTCAACTGACAGGTTCATCGCATGATTCGTAAAAACACAAATTTAATTAAACCAAGAAATTTGTGTAAAAAATAATTTTTGTAACTTTTTTGCGGACTTATCTGCTATTCCAGACTTAGCTTCGCCTCGTCCAAAAACAGCAATTATTCGTCCGCAAAAACTGTATTTTAGGTAACAAAATTAACGATTTTATTCAAACCTTTCCACTGTTGGGTTGGTCACTCTCACTATTTACACAATACGTAAACATATTGTTTCAATTGTAGAATTTTTTATTTTAACCGATCAATGAAATACCAATAATAAAACCTGATTCCAAACAAAAACACTCAGGATTAAATTACATACAATGAAAAAAAAAAGTATCAATTGTCTATAACTAGAACCCATAAATCTCGACACTGAACTGGTTTAAAATTTTCAAAACACTGTCCGCGCCAAAATTGTTGCATATTTTTCGAAAATCTGTAGTTGTCTAAATTTTAATATCATAAAGCCTAATATCTGTCAATATACAGATGCGCCAGAAATCGCGCCCACATAAGGATACCAGGAACATAAAAAAATGTTAAAAAAGTTTTATCTATAAAAATTTCAAAGTTATGAAAGTTAAAATTTTGCACTTTGACATGATTTCTGTTGGAAAAATAATTTTCCAAGTTTTTTTGCTACAGGCTATTAGAACAGGAAACAAGGAAGCTGTATCCTAAACTGTAACTCTGTTCAATGTTATTTAAAAATAAAATTTTTGTACCTTTACTAAATAATTGTAAAAAAAACATATACAAGATCATCAATATCATTAAATAGACATAAAAAAATGTCAAATATCAAAAAATAAATGTAAAAATTTTTTGACAGATGAAATTTTTTTAACATTTTTTTCATCTTCTCTTACTTGAAATTTTTCTTTAGGGCGCGAATTCTGTGACACACATGTATTTTTATTATTAAGGCTCTTCATCGTAGAAGATAACGGTAAATCCTGAACTGCAGTTGTATGTTTATTTTTTTTGTGTCATACAACATTGCAATTCGTCATTTTTAACCGATTTTCTATGCATCAGTCGGCTATCACTTTTGCACTCATCGGTGTTCATATCTCCATCAACGACAGCAAATTTGAAAGACCGATAGATACAGACCCGGGTACCTACTGGTAATAAAGTAATAAATTTTAGAATAGGGCCGGATCGCAGGATGTAACCCACAAACATGATCGTTTTATTTCGTTAGTTCCAAGCAAAGATATGCATCTGCACCCCTCAAGAAGAGAATTGTTAGTTCATCTCAAAACTTCAATTTTTTAATTATAATAAATTTAAAAAATGATAGGTTTAATATAAAGGCACTAAGCCCAATACGTAATCCTAAAAAAAAAATTTAATATTTATATTAATTTCACTGAGGACGGTTTGTGCTTAGGAATTATGTGTATTACAAAAAGTTAAAAAAAGACAGACAGAAAGAGAGACAAAAAATACCACATAAAGTACTAATTTTTTCACAATTACTTATTATCATTTATTACTGTCGATTTGTGTACTCTCCGATCTAGCGACCGGAAAGCAGGAACCCTGTAGGGCTGAATTATTTATTTATTTATTTAGCACTTATCACAGTAACAAATGGAATAAAAAAMACTAATGTTACAAGTTACAAGCGGTTGTATTTTACATAGAGCAACTATTTTTTAAACACATTTCAGCATAAGCTGGTAAATAGTGATTAAATTGTTTGATTAAAAATTATCTAAATTTCTTCAAGAGTTTTTTTAATTACTTTCAAAACATCTTTGCACAACACAACCATAATCATCATCTGCTTCTTCAGTAATTTTTCTTCTGTTTACTAAATTGTTGTCATTATTTTTATTTAATTTTCGTTTTAAATTATTTGCTTTTACTTTTTGTTGTGCATTTACATATGTAGTAGTATAATATCCCGGACTTTTTTTAATTTACAGCCTTTTTCAAACAATGTAAATATTTACCTTTAGAATTATATGAAATCAGAGCAGCATTTGGTACTTAAATTAAATTTATTCATCTTTTACATCAATTCTTAAAATGACCTAATTTTACAGCTTGTACTTTTAGTTGTTTCCTTATAGATGCGAAACATCCCTCGTAAGGTCATAATAAATCAGATAAAACCGGTGATGGGGGTCTGCTTACGGTAAGCTCAGTTTGTTGTGAGAGTTGAGACGATTTTCACACTACGAAAGTTAATAATATTTTCCACAAGAGATTTTTCAGTTATTAATTATCCGAATGATTTCATTTTTTTTTCTTAAGGTCTTTGGTACATGTAGGAAGGACATTGTTAGTTTCCATATAAATACTATAATTTTATTATAAAAAATAAGTTAAAAAATATATAAAAAATAAGAATTTAAATTAGCTACATAACAATATCCCTAGAAATATCTAAAATGGTTTCATCAAAAAATAAAAACCAAAAAATTCCTTATAATAGCCGAGAAAAACCTTTTCGAAAAATGCATTGAAATTCCCTATCTTGGCAAACGATAAGTTAAGCCTTAACGTAAAACACCGCGAAATAGAGGGACGTTATCACAACAAGCCTTTTTTACGATTGTATAAGAGATTGCAAGTTGTAGTTTATCTTTCCATCTAGTCCTATAAGTGCTCTATGCGATTTAAATCAGTATTTTGAGCTGGCCAGTCTACAGGGTGTTTCACACAACTTTACGAGGCTTGCGCCTAATGTACGCACTCAAATATACGAAAGTCACAACACACTAGTTTAAAAAAATACACATTTAATTATTTAATTTTTGGAAACCCATGACAGTAGTTGACAAACTAATCACTGTTTTATTAATAGTCATAAAAGAGACTTTAAAATTAATGATGGTTTAGAATGTCAAATTTTTGTCAACAAGTCCATAGTAATCAGCACATTTTAAACCAACATTAACTTAAAATCCCTTTAATTCGATTATGAAACTGGCCCTTAATCACTAACTACCTAAAAACGTTGCAATTTTTGAAAGGGTGAACAAAATAGAGAAGATTATCCAATTTTTCAAAATTTGTAATCGAGTTCGTATCGAAATATTTATTATTGATTGCATCTTACAGGCGCAGGCCTCGTGAAATTATGTGAAACACCCTGTATATTATTAATACCAACGACGTGACACACTGTGTGACGCTCTGCATAATAATGCGTAAACAAGAAATTGTCGCCGATATAATTATAGGGTATATAGCACAACATTAGGTTCCAATTTTGGTGTTAGTGAGCAAAGTCCAGAGGTCTTCTGTAGTGCTCTGCGTTTAAAAGACCAGTTGCGAGTTGAAACGGTAGTGAATTATGCTCTACTAATCTTCCTCTGACAAATTTGAGTACGATACATTCGAAAAAACTCTTAACTCAAGCTAGAAGTTGTTACTAATCGTTGTCTCAATGCTCGTATGCGACAAAATCTGACCTAAACTGCGGTTGTGACCTGTTTCCTATCCTGACCCGACATTCCCTTATTAATACCTGTCTTTCTAAATCGATTCAGAACCTTTGAAATGGTAGATGAGTTACTCTCAACCATTGAACAATGGATTGTTAAGATTTGTCTTCTTCGGAGAACGCCTCAACCATCTTCTTTAGTGGAAAGATTTTTCAAAATCGTCAAATAGCCTCCATTTTACTCGAATATGACAACAACGCCACTCAGCGTTGATAACATATCACATATCACAACACTCGCAACTAGAGTTCCTATATTTTTTCCTTACTTCTAATATAGTAACTCTAAACACGACGACTAAAAAGAAAATGACATTGCCATAATTTTTCTTTAATTAAACACAATCCTATCATCATTTCGTGTTGATTTATCTTTAAAGAAATTATGAAATTAAAAGGTGAGTACCTTTCTCTCACCTCTCTTGAAAAAAATAGTTAACAAAAATGATAAAATTTACAAATATGCGACAATTTTAGCGCGGAGTGTATAAAATACGAATTATAGAGAAAACAGTACTTACTTTTATGAACAGTTAATAACACAAAATGGTAAGTACTACAGTAAATTACCTGCAAAACAAGTCGGCATCGTTGTGGTCATCCTTATGTAAATAAACTAAAAGGAATCTCAATTCTCGTTTAGCGTCATTAAGGGCATGTGAAAAAGTTCCCTGGTAAAAAACTGGATGGCAATCTCCATACTTTTCTTGGTAAAGATTAATGAACTCTATAACATCATCTAGAGGATTAGTCGCTAAAATTAGCCTTAATTAAACCAAAACGCCGTTCAATTCAACCTCCTCCCCTTACGTCTTTCTGGCTCAAACCGTATCATCCTCCTTCCCAACTGAAACAGGGCCAAAATCGTACTATAGCATATATTGTAGAAAAAATTAAACATTGCTCTAGCAAAACCCAGAATTCCGCCACCGCCCCCGTCTCGAGGCATCGAATAATATATATGTTGTCCCAAAAGGTCACTGACGACCGCCGGCGGTCTGCTCTCAGTCGCATATATTGAAGGTCTGCCCTCTCTGATATTTAGCTGCTCCTGAACAGCCACTTCGAGGTTCCATTGGTGTCTTTGCAGAACGTCCCGGCATATTGTCATGTCATCGATGCCGGTTAGGTCTTGCAGCTGTAATACTTTCTCGGTTTGTTCGCTCGTGAGCCCCAAACCAGCGTTGTCTCCGAGGTAATTCATTGTTGACGTGAAAACACAGCTTGACCGGAATAATCACATGTGCACATAAAAACGTGGAATTTTTAGATACGGAGCGGTGTCACAGTGCATAAATTTGAAATGCTTGAATTGAAATCGTGAGCATTACACTTATTTTCTAAACGTCACTTTGTCTTGAAAGTTTCCACAGAAAAATGGGGGATTTTTGAAGCGAACGGTGAGCGTTGGCAGCATTGCGGGCGTGTTCCTGTATTTATTTTAATTTTAATTTTTTTATATCATTTTTTGAACTTACTTTATCGCGTATTGCAGGCTATTTAACCTATTTATTTTATTAAACATATGAAATAGTTTTCCAAAATAAATTTAGTTTGTATTGTTGGTTGTCTAAATATAGAAGAAATGCTTACAAATATCTTTAATGAGGAATGGTACGTATTGTAGATGTTTAAAATTAATTAACACTCAAAAATCTTCGTTTTACTCTAACACTGTGTACTACAATTTCAATTTTAAAATTCATAATAAAAAATTGGGAAATTACCATTGCGCCTGCGCACCTGTCAATGTCAACGTTTAAACGTCAGTGGAGCATTTCTAATTTTTGCTGAAAATCGTTTATTAAATATAATTAAACGTATCCAGTGTTGTTATTCTGAATAAAGTGGTGATGGCTGATGTTTTGGACATTAACGACTCCGTCGAATTGGACGTAGAAGACGAGGGAGATCGTAGGCAAGCCACAACATAACCTTTCAATGACTTAACCTCACTTATTTCAGAAAGCGTTTTGCGGCTAAAAGATAAAGTTGTAAAGCGAAAAGGTCGAGGTTTTGGGCCTGGAGAAGCCAAAGAACATGAGAAAATTCGTGGATATGAAAGCATAGACCCAGGGGATCACGGGGATGAACCCGGACCACAGAAATGTAATTTGCATTTTGCTCTAGTTTTACTGCTATAAACAGTTATTAGAGAATAATTTAAAGGTGCATATTTTATGTTTTAGCCGTGGAGGGATGGATTTTATTTGTGACTTCGGTACATGAGGAGGCCAGTGAGGATGATTTGAGTGAGAAATTTTCCGAGTTTGGCGCTATTAAAAATATAAGTATCAACTTGGATCGGCGGACGGGATTTTTAAAAGGATATGCTTTGATTGAATATGGAACATATGAGGAAGCTTCCGCCGCCAGAGAAACATTGAATGGTTCTTTATTGTTAGGACAAACAATTGGGGTTGACTGGTGCTTTGTCAAAGGGCCAAAAAAGTAAGTTTGTTTTTTTTGCAAACTGGATTTTATTGACATATGTTTACTTTTCAGGTCAAAGAAACGTGCAAGGAGGCATTGAATATATCTAAGTTATTTGTAATTGAATTTTCCATTTACAGTAAGTTCTTAAGGTCACAGAAATAAGGTTCTTTGCTGTACATTCTTTATGACACTCAGTAAGTAATAAATTGTCCGTTTTCTACATATAAGTTTTTTTCATTTGTAAGTACCTACATATCTTAATTTTAATTAATCGGAAATTACACAAAATTCATAACTACAAGTTATATTTTGTAAAACGAAGTTTTGTATGATTCAGTTTTAAGTGCTTTTCTGTATTTTGAAATTTTAGTACAGTTTCTACCTGAATAGTTTGAGATACAATTTTTTCTGGAATCCTTCATAACTTCATTGCTGAAGTTTGTACAATACTTTGTAACATGTAATATTTCAATTACGAAAGCAGAGACACAACCGTGGTAAAACCTTTAAACATATTTTAATTATCACAATGCTGTTCTTTCAAGTTGTTGTGTTTTCTCTTCTTGCTAAAAGTAAAGCCGATTTAGTGTGTGACAAAGTTAACATAACACCTATAACGTACTATGAAAATGAAGAAACATATTCTTCAATTCGGGAAGATACTGTTATTACAAC